GCGTATCATATTTAAGTCAAATAATGTTTTTTTAAATTATCCATATCTTTCAAACCGTAACTCAGATTTGAACATGTTATATATGAAATTTGATTAGAAAAATATGTAGAATATGAATATGAGATTATTTTCACGTGTTAAGTATTTTTAAATATTATTTTGGAATATATTTAAGTCAAACAAATGATTTTCTAAATTATCCGTATCTTTTAAACTGTAACTTCGATTTTAACATGTTATATATGAAATTTTATTAGAAAAATATGTGGAATCTAAATATGATGTTAATTTTACCTGTTAATATTTTTAAAATATCGTTTTGTGAGCATCCTTATAATTTATAGCGTAAGATCCGTTTTCCTTTCGTACCGGCGGCGACCCGGATTGCAAATAAACGCCACACTATAACAATGTAGGGAAAAGAAAACATCGATAACTACACATGCATACCTCTGAAAAATGTCGCAGGGAAAAACAATAGATTTCTCATCGCGAGAGTGAGAGAAAGCGAGAGAGAGAGAGGAAGGGAGGGAGAGGGAGGAGAGAGGGAGAGAGACGCCTTAGGAGAAAACATATTCAAACACGTTTTTTTTTGTTTTGTGTGAACACAGAGGCCATCGCCGGCGAGGGTGAGGAGGATAAGCGGCAACACAAATATGATGCCTCGCAAAAATAAAGGAGATGGACCTATTATGGTCTTGAGAGATGGTTGTTGGGTTAAGAGTGTGTGTTATGTTTTCTCTTTCGTTCCAACGCACGGGCTCTTTTGCTAGTTTAATAAAAATGCATGTGTGCTACTATTGATGTACAGGCAAGCGATTTCAACCTCTTTTTCGTAAAGAAAACATCATCGATGTCACGATCAGCATCGACTGAAACACCTCAGTCCACATACTCCCATCGATCGGGACGCGTAGTTCGATGATGACAATGATCCACCACAGTAGCATATAACCATATAGTAGTACGATATGTTTGACGGCACTGACACGTGCAAGTGAACCACAATTTAAAACCCAGGCCGGTGTGATCCCGCGTGACCAACGATGTCCCAGTTCCAACCACCCCGGCCGCCCGACCAGTCAGGAACACGATCGCACCGAACACCTGAATGCACATATCATAATCGACCCCGTCCCGTCGAACCAACCAACCAACCGCTTAATTTCAGCGTGTGTTTCCCGGACACCTGTGCAAGCAGTGCGTTGTGTCGTCAGTCGTCAGGCACTGGCGCGTACACGTGTGAGGCCGATCGCCCATATGCTACTCGTGCGTCCCACGTCCGCGGCCGCGCACGCGCCGCTGGCCGGCCGGTGTATATATAGAGCGCGCGCTCACCTCCCCAGCAGCACCAACCGAGACATCCATCCGGCCAACAGCAGAATTCCTCTGCAAGGACGACTTCGAAATCCGAACTCATCATCCGTCATGGCTTTGGATGGCAGGGCCTTGCCGCAGCCGGCGCCCGCGTGCGTTCCCGCCGTCCAGGCGGTGAGGCCGTGGGCGGGGGACAGCGGTGCTAATTCGTCTACGGAGGGAAGGGAAAGGGGCATGCTGCAGGGGAGCGCCGTGGAGGTGGATGTGCCGCTGCTGCGGGACGACGAGGGGAGGATGAAGCGGGAGCTGGTCGCCTGGGCCAAGGCCGTGGCGTCCATGGCCATCAGGGAGTCGATGCGGTGCTAAGGTGCACGCGCGCGGCAGAGGCAATGAAGCCATGGAGGAACCATGGATTTATTTTATTTTTGGAGGGAATGGATCGATGTTTTTCTTCTTCTGCTTCGTGCATGCACCCGGATCGAGCGTTGGCCGCTGGACTACATTTTGTTACCTCTGAATCCTTTGTTCACGGAGCGACCGTTCTAGTCGATCGATCATTCCGGATGTAAATGTTTTTGCAAATGATGGAGGATTACTTATAGATTTTTTCCATGATCTCGTGTGCTTTTTGTTGAAAGTGTACCATTATATCTGTAAAAGCGTCTCTAGCCGATCTTTAAAAAAAATCAACTCCATGCCAGAAAAAAAAGGGAACCTTTAACTCCTCAAAAAAAAATTGCTTCAAGTTAATCGCACCTAGCCGAAACCTTAACGGTTAACTACTCGCCAAATTTTAAGGAGTTAACTCCCAAAACCATTCCAACTCTCTTATTTTTAAGCAGCCAGGATGCCTCTCCTAAAAAAAATTCTTTTATGTGACGTGCGTGACGCCTTCTTCTCCCTTCTGTTGATGTCGGCTATTCGTTGCCCTGGTGACCGAAAAGATGGAACCTCCACCACCCTCACACGTCCGGCCGCCCTCTTGGGTGTCATATTCTCGTCGGCGGTGACGAACTTGGGCGATTCACAACTCGGGCTGCCTCAACGGCTCACTACTTGAGCTGGTGCTTGTGACAGTGGACTGGAACATACAGCTGATGTCGTTGCGGTAGTTGTGGACCATGAACACGAGTGCCCTCGGTCGCACACCAACGCCCCGCCCGTTGGGCGCCACAAGCGCATGAAGAGGCGGCGCACAAACACATCATCCGACGTGGTGCAGTAGGACATCTCATCCTCCACTCCGTGGACCGCGTAGTACTCCGCCTCCATCGTTGTGTGTGCGCATTGTTGTTGCGTGTGTACTGATGATGATTGTGTGTGTGTGTTGTTGTTGTTGTTGTTGTTGTTGCTCCTGTGTGTGCATGTGTCATGTGTGTGTTGTTGCTGTGTGTGCGCGTGTGTGCTGTGTGTGTGTGCATGCTCTTGGTGTGTGTCCATGCAGCCTCTCCTCGTCTTCTCAAGCGTCTTTCTCGACCCATTATTGTCCTCGTCCAGACTAGTCGTCGAAAAAGAAGAAGGAAAAAGAAAGAAGAAAAATATGAAGAGAGACTTTCATGAGGGGTCAGTTTGTTAGAGAAGTTAAATTTAAAGGTTTAGTTAGGTCCGGCCACAATTTAAAGGCATCTTCAATGCCGCCCATCAAAACAGACACCCCAAACATTCGCGAACACGTCTGGACGTGTTCACAGACAGCGATAGTGGAGCCGGCCATCCAACGCCGTGCACCAAATGTCCACCCCTTGTCCAATGGAGAGAGGAGGGAGAAGGGAGCGAGAGGAAGAAGTGGGTTTGTGTTGGGGTTCAAGCTTGTCCGCAGTGTGTCTCGACTCCCCCAGACCACTTCTAATTCGTGGTGGATTTGTGAGATTCCGATCATTTGTCTATATCGTGGACATTTGGTGTACCCTATTGGAGGGCAAAAGGTGCCCGAGCATTTAGAAGGGATTTGACGTACCATGCTGGAGATGCCCTAACTCCTCGGATTTTAAGGATTAAATCTATGGAGGCATGTAATAAGTTAAATTATAATGGATCGGCTAGAGATGCTCTAACAGCTGGACCGAGTCCTATGTAGTTGATGAGTGTATTTTTACACTCATTTCCACCATTGTTAAAGCCTGATAATCCCAAATATTTCAAGAAAATCGCCGACACTATCACTACTTGACTAATAAAAGTAAGAGATCACAAATCCCTCGACCTCCATTTATTTTGTTTGGGTCATTTTGAGGGAAGGAATTGAAGAATATATGGAAATATGAAGACTGAAGATCAACACTGAGCAAACTAAGGCGTTGGAGTGCATCCAGGAGAGAAGAAGGCACCTGGTACGAGCGCACACGCTCGTACCACCTGTCGTCGGCTCCATGATGTCATCCCAAGCCAACTTCATAATAGGTTCGAGCCCCATTCGCAACGGAGAGCCAACCATTCACAACAAAAAGTGAGAACCCTAATCCATCCCATAGCAACCATCCCCTAGCCATAGCCATCATTTTTAATAAAATACATTGCATACAACAACACTGTAAGACTATTATCAATCATTCATCTTCAAGTTCAATCTACAATGTCTTTCTTTTGTGACTCATCTGCGATGTGTGAGTAGTTCAATCGGGCTATGGGTTGAGACGCAGCCTTTCATCCCCATGTACTTGTGCACAGTATTATTGGTATTGACTTTAAGATCAAATGTATTGCTTGTATCTCAATGGATTTGTCTCTTGTCTCTTTCTCGTCTTAGGCATTGTGGGTACCCGAGATCTCCAACATCGATCAAGGAGGAGGTAAGTGCATAGATGAGTAGAAGGCTATGCTGAAAGTCGGGACGAGGTAAAGCCAGTGATAGTCAGGATGAGTACGGTAGCTGAAAGTTATTCCCTGGGAAAACATGAGATGCGGTCATTAAACGCCCAATATGTTGGTCCGAAGAAATCCTTAGACTAAAATTGTACCATCGTTTGTGTACACTACCCTTAAAACTGCCATTTGAAGCTCTGAACTATTTTGCCTCTGGCAGAATAGGTTAGACCACACCAGACTTGGGATGATAAAAATAATAATTAACAACTCGCATGATCAAAATGTCAACATGAAAAACTTCCTGAATCTCGATGATTTTGTATGCCCCGCATGCACTACAGGGAAGTTAGTCACTAGACCATCGCCCCTCATACTGAAGGATGAAATCCCCGTGTTATTAGAACGTATCCATTTGGATATATGTCATCTAGTTCAGCCCCTCTTGTGGTACTTCGTGGTGTTCATCGATGCTTCCTCTAAATGGTTCAATGTTTGTATACCGTCAATACAGAACCATCCTTTGCAAAGTTAATCTCTCAGATCATACAAATGAGAAATAATTTCCCCGATTATCTTATAAGGTCTATTTGAATGGACAATGCTGGAAAATTTACTTCAAAGCGTTCGATGATTGTTGAATGGCAATGGAAATCGATCACTCAGTATCACATGTTCATACACAAAATGGACTTCTTGAGGCATTGATTAAAAGGATTAAATTCATTGTTTGACTGCTCCTTCGGGGTTTTAATTTACCAACTACATATTGGAGCCATGCAGTGTTACGCGCAGCCAATCTCATCAATTTTAGACCGTATACCTACAGCATACACTCTTCTGTTTAGCTTGTGCAAGGATCGACATCGAAAATTTCCCAGCTACATAGGTTTGGTTGCTAGGTATATGTACCAATACCATCACCCCGGCGATTAGCAATGGGCCCTCTCCATAAGTCGGGATATACGTTAGTCATGAGACTATGTCCGTAATCAGGTATATGGACTCCATAAGAGGTGACTGTCATATGGCTCGTTTTGCTGATTGCATTTTTGACGAGGATCTTTTCCTGACATTAGTGGGAGAGAATCATCCCTTTGATGCAAAAGTCGAGAAATCACATGGCAAGCTATGGGAATCCATGCTGATGACCCATTCACTATTGAGACAGATAGAGAAGTCCAAAGCATAATAGATTTGCAATCATTAGTGAATCAATTGCCTTATAACTTTTCTGACTTAAATATTGTCAAAAAAGTCGCATGTGGATGCGTGCAATGCAACAGAAAGGGTTGAAATACCGAAGAAAAATGATGGTATTGTTAGAAATATGCCCTAGAGTTAATAATATTGTATTATAATATATTTATTTTCATAATTAAGAGTTTTTATTTCATGTTATAACTGATATGATTCTGAAATATGTGATTCGGTGGAAAACTCATATGCATATGTGAAATGATAAACAGTATAATATAGGTCCCTGGTCTTGCCTCTAAGACTGGCTCAAGTGTTATTGGTGATCATATTTTCCGGATCTTAGGGTATCATTAAGTGTAACGTAGTCCTAAACAACATTGAGAGTATGACGTTAGAAGAACGATCATATTAAATCGACCCAATCTTGTTTGTTATACATTGAGATAATATTGTCTGAAATCAATTGTTATAACACGGAGAGTTAGCATGTGTTTTTGTTCCTAGGACCATGCGATGCCTACCACGGCCTCCCCTGCTCCTGTAGCGGGAGGTGGAAGGAGAGGTGGAGGTGGGATGGGCCTCCTCCTGTAGCAGCAGGCCGCAAGTGCCTAGCAGTTTTTCACCTTTTTCTTTTTAACTTTCTATTTTATTATTTCACCTATGTTTTCTATTTTATATTAATACCATTTGAATTTTGTTAAACTTGATATTTAGCACATAATCTGTAGGCAGCACTTTGAGTTAGCACACAAAGTTTTAAGTGGCTTGGAAATATTTAGATATTTGTTTTAATTCAAAAAGGCAATTTAAATGTTGTTGGTCCACTAAAATAATTGCCAGGGACAATTTGGGCATCCAAATGAAGTTTGTATTATCTTTACAATTGCCTGGGGATTTAATGACATATTGCGAACAATTTTGTTTAGCTGTTTAAAGAAATGTTATTTTTGACTTTATTCTAAATTTGAATTTGAACTGGGTTCGGATCAAAGTGAAGTTTAGAAAAAAAAAATTGTGATGACATGGCACCATTAGCATGAGTTACTATAGCATGACATTTGGGGTGTTACACACATGTTGTTCGCTACAATGCCTAGAGCGGGGGAGATGACGTACGACAACCCGGACAGGGAGATGTTTGACATCATCCACGACGGAGGCAGTGGTGGAGGAGGATGTGACTATGAGGATGGGCAGGTGGAAGACTCGGATCCCACCTAGTCCGGCAACTACCAGCAGTAGCAGTCCTACACCCAGACGGGCACGCAACAGTCCTACACCCAGACCGGCGTGGGCACACAGCAAGAACATGCCAGAGGGGGAGGAGAAGGAGGGGGAGGACGGCGAGGACGATAATCCGGATG